CCCCAAAACCCCAAAACCCCAAAACCCCAAAACCCCAAAATCTAATACTAATTTTGAATAATTGTGTGGGAAATGGAGAGAAGATTGACAGGAAAGTTAGGAACTGGAGACAAATTAATGCAGTTCAGGCGAGGATATACCACTTTAGACATTGCTGAGTAAGATTCTTGTGAATAATGCATTTATAGCTCACTGAGTGAGGATGAGAGTAATATCCAGAAAGCTCTCAAGGTCCTGAGAGTGCCGAATGGAGTCTCTGTAGCTGATGCTATCGAGATCATGAAAAAGCACAGTCTTGATGATGAAGAGGATCAAGAATTTAGCACACAGGAGTTTGAAATGGGTATACTAGAGTTGTTTGACCTCGAAGAAGACTATGACGTCCTTGATCAGAAATCAAAAGACTCTATCAAGCAAGCTATTGAAGACCTCTTCATGGAATTCGATGTTGATGACAAAGGAGCTCTGGAGATTAAACATCTCGAACAGGGATTCCGCAAGTTTCTACCAGACAATGCTCAAAAATTTACTAAAATAATCAAAAACCCAACAAATATAGCTACTGTTGAGAAGCTATACGATGAAATTGATGCAGATAAGCAGGGATTTGCCTCTACTGAAGATTTTGAGAAATTTTTGGAGCCATATTTTGACGACGATGAGAGAAAAAGACAATTTGCAATCATGTGCACCCACGATGCTGATGAGAACCACTCTGGAAATGTCAGCAAGCTCGAATTCATTAAATGGAGTGAAACAAGAGGGTACATTCACTTCATCAACGTTCTTGAAGGGAAGTGTATCCCAGACTCTTTCGATGACTCTCCAAGAAGCTTCCAAGATACCCAACCTGAGAGGAGCTCTAATGCTACTAATTTCCGATCAAAAACCATGAGAATCCCTAAAAAGAAAGAAATAGAGTTCAACAATATCTTTGCAAATAAAAACAAGGAAGGATTATCAAAAGCAGTCAAGAAGTTGCAGGAGAAGAAGAAAATATCAGACTTCCAGAATATTTTTAAGAGCATTGACTTCCGTGCAGCTATCAAGGACATCAAAACTCTGTCCCACAACAGTGGATTGTACCGTATAAACCCTCTGGAACTTATTAGATACCTAAAAATGATACTGAAGGATTATGCAGAAGGCTTCAATGAAGAAGAATTTATAGAATTCATGTTCAAATACACTAAGCAGGAAAAGCTCACTGCTTATCAAAGGAAAATTAGAGAGAGCGCTCTCAGAAAAATATTCGTGATTATTGATGTCGATGGAAATAAAGTTGCAGATTACACTGAGCTCACTGAATGTCTCGTCTTCCTTTGTGGAGGAAGTATAGAGGAGAAGATCGAATCAGCCTTCTTGCTATTTGACATCGATGATACAAAGACATTCAGTCTTGATGAATTCACTGATTTCATTGGAGTCTTGTTCAGAATATTCCTGAATTTCTTGAGCGACCATAACCCTCATTACTTAGAACTCGACTATAGAGAGCTCACAGAGCAAACAGCAGATAAGTGCTTCTCAGATCTCCAGAAAAGTCCAGCCGGGGAGATCTCCCATTACGAGTTGTTATTTTGGGTAACCGGTAAGAGGTTCCTATCAAAAAGAAGAGAGCAAATATTAGATAAATACAAGCCTCCTTCGAAGGCAATTCTGCTGAAGAACAAGATTGAGAAGGTAAATTCCTCTCTCAAGAGAATCCTCAACTCTGAAGAATTAATCTCAAAGATTGAACATTACAGGAGCTCACTGCTTATCGATAAGATCAACATCTACGACTGAATGGAAGCCTTCAAGAACTCAGATGAGTACCTTAATGAAGAAAATGAAAGAGGAGGCGTCAGGAACAACAGTTTTATGAGAGGTAAGCTTCCTCTAACTTTTTAGGTGGTAAAGAGATCTTCAACAGGCATGACTTTTCAAGGATCCTCACTGGATTGCTAATCAAGAAGAAAGTTATAGATATTGATAAGAAGCATAGGTAAGCTTTCAGTCTGATTTCAGACTCTCACACCCTATAAACAAGCTGTTCAATGTCTTGGATAAAAATGTGGATGGTATTGTGGAGATCGAGGATATCCTAGCCCTCACCTTCTGCTGCAATAGCAGCATTGGTGACCGCATCAAGGTCCTCTTTGAGTTCTACGAGACCTATGGAGACGGCACCATCGGCTTTGAGGAACTACAGAAGTACTTCAGTTGTTGTTTTACAATGTGAAAATGGGAAGCGCTTGATATTTTTGGTAAGATTCTGAGTCAAATTATAGATATTGATAAGCTTACTAAAGCAACTGCTGAAAACTGCATGAAGTTTATCCTAACAAGCAGAAAAGAAGAAGCTGATCAAGAGAAAATTGAAAATGAGAAGATCAGTATCGATGAGCTTAGAAGCTGGGTGTCTTCAAACAAGTTTGGAACCTTCTCAAAAAGCGAGGCCGCAGAGCTTTAATAGCAAAGTTTCAATCATCACTGTTTTTATTGGGGTTTTGGGGTTTTGGGGTTTTGGGG